AACCAGCTGCCGGGGGAACGCCTGCCAGTGCGTACAGGCAGCAGCTCAGAACACAGCTCACCCTAATGGGCAACCACTCGCAGGAAAGAGAAAACAAAAAGGGAGAAGAAAAAAACCTCCAAAATAAGCAGATTCTCCCAGCACTGCCCTCCACAAATATTCCAATTCCTTTCACAGACACTAAAGTAAAAAACAAAAAAAGCAAGCTATTTTTTCTCTCCTCCCTCGTGCATCACGAAGACAGAACTGGCGTGACGGCCCGGGCAGAGAGCCCCAGTTGGGCCCTGGAAATCTCTTCCTTCCTGCCTTTGCTCTTCTGAAGAAGACCACGGGTCACTGCCAGTTCCAGGCCAGGATAATTTTAAACACATCCTCTTCGGCATTAGCATTTGTTAGATTCTTCCCAATAGCCGGGCTAGGACAGTGGCATGGCAAGGCTTTCCCCCAGCACACAGCAGAACAAACGTGAACAAAGATTGTCCGTAAGACTATCCAGCTAAAGATTACTTTAACAGCAAACCACAGCTGACGGCAGCCTTCAGCCTTCCAACGAGCATTTCATGTCCTACCCAACCGTCACTGCTCGTGAGAAGCGTAAGTCTTGGAGCCTAATCGCTGTTTGAGGCACAAGAGCAAGTACGACAAAATACTAATTCGCTTGAGAGAGGCCAGCGCAGCCACAGAGATGCTGAAGGGAGTGGAACATCTCCCTGGTGAGGAAAGGCTGAAGGAGCTGGGGCTCTTTACCGTGGACAAGAGGAGGCTGAGGGGTGACCTCATAAATGTTTATAAATATGTCAAAGAGGACTGTCAGGAGGAAGGAGCCAGGCTCTTTCCGGTGACGTCCAATGACAGGACAAGGGGCAATGGGTACAAGCTGGAATACAGGAGGTTCCACAAAGATGTTAGGAAAAGCTTTTTCCCTGTGAGGGTGACAGAGCCCTGGCACAGGCTGCCCAGGGAGGTTGTGGAGTCTCCTGCTCTGTAGACATTCAAAACCCACCTGGACACGTTCCTGTGTGACCTGCTGTAGGTGATCCTGCTCTGGCAGGGGGGCTGGACTAGATGATCTCTAGAGGTCCCTTCCAATCCCTGACATTCTGTGAATCTGTGACCAAGAACACCTGGATAAATCTAGTTGTATGGCAAGATAGTCCTGAGAAGCTGACTAAATAGCAGAATGGGATTTAATGCAGTGAGAAGCTGGGACAGTGATGCTGGAAAGTAGACAAATGTAAAACAATCGCTGCAGTCAGCTCTAGTCCTGCTCATTTTACATCGGCCAAATACGTGAACACTCATTTAGGGGCAAGTCAGCTTTCCCTCCAATAAGCATTATTCTGTGTGTTTTTCCTGCAATTAACAGCTGCAGCCAAAAGGCATCAGTGGAAGACGACTCTTAAGTAGACAGAGGGAGCTGAAGGAATTAAATACACCATTAGGCACGTAGCTACGCCACCTCCCCACCCCCTTAGCATCCAATAGCCAAATCCCATATAACTGGATTCGTAGAGTTAATCGCTGTGAGAGATACAAACCTGACTGGGCTCCCATCGACGCATTCACAGGCCATTGCAGTAAGGAAATGGAAAAGTTCCCAGCCGATATTTAGGCAGGAGATGCCTTTGGGATCCAAACCCACGAGCACACGGAGCCATGAGAGCACAGCACGCAAGTCTGCTGCTTCCTAGGTAAGGAGCTGGCCCGCACGGAGCAAAATGTGCTTGGCACAGGCACAGCCAGCTCCAGGAATCCCACCTCGCACTGGCACTAATTCAGAGGGAACCGAGGATGTTCAGGAAACTCTCCAAATCCTACTGGAAACGTTTATCCAGACAGTCGGCTCCTCTCCTGCGACAGCCGGGACGCATGAGCCCCTGCCAAAGCCGCCGGTTCCAGGTTGGGGGGAGAGGAACAGCACGCACCAAGGCTGCCTGTCCAAGTTATTGTTCCTCTTACTTGAAGACGGACGCAAGAAAGAGTAATTTCCTTTTCCATCTGTACTCCAAGGCAGCCAAGGATGCTGGAGCTTTCCCCCAGCAAGCTGGCCTGTGCAGCATCGAACAGCCCTTCCAAACCTCCCCTGCCCGCAGGACAAGGTGTGCGGCTCACCAAGCCCCCAGAGCCGAGCGCACTTGGCAATGCAGGAAGTGCCAAGGAAGCTTTTAAGCAGAACTAAGGATGAACTCTCAACCATCTTGTGCCTCAGAGCCAAAAACACCACTCAGGCAGGTTTCATTGACACAGGAACAGCAGCCAGAGAGCAGCACACTTTCAATACCACCAGACCATCTCACCATGACAGAGCTTGGACAGGCTTGGAGAGGAAAAACAGTCAAACAGGCACTGAGACTGGAACTCCACGGAAAACAGAGCCAAAGGACTCTGGTCCGTCAACCCCCCCCAGTGAAGCGGCTTGCTTTCCTTTGAACTTCAGCTTGGATTAATTAAAATTTTACATATTTTCTTGTTGGAGACAAAAGTCAGCAAACATGGTGCTTCAAAGCCGGTTCATGAAATTAAAACAAGTTGTTGCTACAATAAGTAATCCAGGAGGCCTAAACCAACCGCTGCCAAATATCCAAGTGAAGCTGTAGAATTAAATCACCACTTGATGTGGCATTTCCTCCCAGTGACCAACCCTCTGAGAAGGCCATTATTCACCCCAGCGTGGTATACTCCACCCCAGAGCAGCAAAAACCCCCTAAGCAGTGAACCGCATGGGGACACCGACCCTGTTTTGGAGTTACTGTACCGCAGAGGCAACTTCCAGCTTTCCCACTTCTGACCCCAGTGCAGCGGCATCACGCCACCCTCTGCAACAGCAGCAGGTAAGCATCGAGCAGCAATAACTCTGGGTGAACACAGATCCCTTTCTTTAGTGTATCTTCAAATGAGGTCCTCCTTTAAACTCACTTTTAATTAATTGCATTTAAAGTAATGGGGTAGGGGAAAGAGGAACAGTGCTTTCCTGTTTATTGTCCTCAGGAGACGCTTACAAACTCCTCAACTGAATGGTGAGAGGTTTGTTACTCCAGGATATAGTTGTTGCCAAGTGTAACAATTTGAAGGTACTTCCTATTAATGTGGTAATGACCATATCCTGGGCTGATACACTCAGACTAAACGGTGTGCCTCTGGCATAATTGCTATCCTGGAAACAGGAAGCAGCTTTAGGCTGTAGCATAAACAGTAATTATATGACATTTTAAATGAAGTTAAAGAAGGATGGAGTAAACACTTTCTTGTTGGTAGCTTAACAAATGCTACTGTAGAGCTGTCATATTGCTCTCTTCCAAAGCCTCCAAGAGCCTTTCAGCAAAACAACGATTATGTTTTTATTTACCTCGTACTTCACAACCAGGGTGGGAAGAGAGGTTTGGAGTAGCTCCAGGACAAAGCTGAATTCTCCGCATCGGCCTTGAAAGGTTTTGCAGAGGGCAGAAATCCCTCCTCACCCGTATTTCAAACTGGTTTAGCTTCCCAGTGCGACCAAACGCTAATGTACCAGCCACCTCCCATTGATGCCTCTAGGTTAAGGCTGGGCCATAGGCATTAGATGCTACATAACCCAAAGTGATCCCAAATCCAACAAAATTACACGCATCCACCTACAAAAGACAGGAAGGGAATGAGATGATATTCCCCAGTTTCAAGGGCAGTGCTCCCACACACCCCAACTATTTTTTTCAACAGGGTGTGGCGCGGGGACACTACAGGAACTGTATCCTAACAGCTCATTTGCACTACAAAAAGCCTGAAGTCCTTAAAATCCTGCTAAATTATCAGATCTGCCCTCACTCAGATCTCTCAGTCCTTGGCATTGCCACGCAGCGGTGCTCATTTCAGGGGCAACACTAAGGGGAAAAAAAAAGCAGGACTCGCTGGTCTGTGATGGAGAGTAGCGTTTTCAATAACCAGCTGCCACTCTGCAATGCTGGCACATGCACTAAA